ATAGCAGTTTTGTTGTTTATTTTAACCGTTATTTTTTATATAATTGATTAATAAATAAAAAATGCATAGAGAATTCCACCCCGAGTGGAAATAATTTATCACTGCAAGTTATTACATCTTAGTAACTTATTATAAGTGGCAAAGTTTATTTTTAAATTTTTACCAATTGTTGAAAATAAATTCAAATATCAAAATGTTTTTTCCCTTATTTGCAGGGATAAAATTAACAAATCAATTCTGGCAAGTACCTGCTAATTCATCATCATCATCCTTCTTATCCTATTCCCGTAGGGTCAGCACAACAGGTTTTTGTCCACCAAATAACTCTATCATACGTCATCTCAGTCATCACTCCCTTTTTGATCATGTCACCTTTCACGCAATCCATCCATCTCTAATCCCTGCTAATTACAACCCAATATCATTAGTGTTAAATTTAAAGTAGAAGTCACTGGAAACAATACCAATATAAATGAATTACGCAGTAAAATCAATATCTATAATGGGAACGTTGACCTAGAAACCAAGTGTGCAGGGCACGAGCTGGCCACGCGTCTTGTACTATCTCTATGTACTATATCAACAAAATACAAAACATTTAATAAGAGAAGAAAAACAACTAATTACAAGTCATTGCAATTTTATCGGTATTTTAAAAACATTGATTGCTAACTCGCCTCACAAATTTATTTTATCTGTTAAACGCTTATCTGTGCTTTTAAAACCTAGTACCTACTACTACCTGGTACATATTTTTTTTTATATGGCATAAGGTGGCAAACGAGCAAACGGCCACCTGAAATCGCCAAATTGACGAAGTGACCGCTGCCCATAGACATCCGCAATTGCAGATGCGTTGCCTACCCTTATACGACGGAGGAGGAGACGCACATAAAGAGGATATTTTCCCTTCTTATGCATCTCTTCCACTGTCAAATCCACTTCTTCTTCCCATCCTCTTTTTATAAGAAAAGGGTGGTAAAGAGAAAGGGACTTAAATTAGGCCTCCGGCACCACACTCATCAGACGAAACACGGAATTGTTTCCATTTGACGCCTGTCTTCTGTGTGGTCGTGGTATTACACCCGGCGTGCCGGCCCATTCGTGCTAAGATGTTAAAGCGGGCACTACCACTGTTAAAAAATAGTTAAAACATTAGTTGCTTCTCACCGGAGAATTAAATATGTTAAAAACCAACGAGTACAGACAAATTGAGTACCTCCTTTTGGGAAGTCGGTCAAAAATTGAAAGATGTGAAAACATTGTTACATTTTTTATAGAATAATGAAAATAACATGTTTATTAGAGTATATGACAAGCTTTTACCATTAAGTATAAGAGCACACATACGACTAAACTATCGCACAAATATCTTGATTCTATGAACTTATATGGAGGTGCGTATTACGTGATTTATAGTATTGTAAATTAACAGTTGAATTAGCTGCAAACAACCGACAATCGCACAATAGTTGTGCGATAGTTTAGTCAAAGGTGTCCGCTTTAAATGTTTCTGATAAGAAATGACCCGCACACTTCGACACTTCGAGAGAGTTCTCAGAAGTTGTATTTTTAGTTCCAACTTGAGTTGATAAAAGGCATTGAATGTAACTTGTTGCTTACTACCTTATTTGGTCCTGCCTCTCCATCACATACATCTTACTATTATTATAAATGCGAAAGTTTAGGTGGATGTTTGTTAGAGTTTGTAGCCTAAACGGCTGAACGGGATTCGATGAAATTTGGTAAAGACGTAGAGGGTTGTCTGGAAGAACACAAATGCTGCTTTTGTTCTTTTTAATTACACTCGGACGGAGTAGAGAGAGAAAAGGTACTTTGAAGATTACATTAGTACCCCCCGCTTATTAAGCTTTATGTGTTTTTTATTTAGTAATTACATTAAAATATACAGAAACAAAAAGTCGACCTTGTTTTTATATTTTATACAAAATTCACGAGAAATACACGAAAAATTTTAAATCGGTCACGAATATGCATTACAGAAAAAAGTTTTACTTATGTACGTGACTCGATAAATAACTTTGAAGTAGATACGAGAATTTATTAAACCATTACTGAGAGAGTTGCCCACTGATTGCTTTGACCACATACGTCGAGGCACGTATTAAATACACGTATTATTATGAAATATAGATCAATAGATACAGAAAATTTTAAACAAAGTTTATCTTGATCTTACTGATATTATAAACTAGCTTTCGCCCGCGACTCCGTCCGAGCGGAATTAAAAAAAAACAAAAGTGGGTAGCCTATGTGTTCTTCCAGACTATCCCCTACTTGCTTTTTTTGAAGCATCCAAACTTTTTTTTCGTCTAGATTGCATCGTAATATGAAAGTTAAACGATGAACACTTTCGTTTTTACACGCGCAGTGTGTCATCACATGACATTACATCACACCTTTGAGTATTAAGAGACAGGATCTGTCAAGCGTGCGTATTTCAAAATATATTTGTTTTGTGTAATTTCCCAAATCAATATATGTTCATAAAGACATTTTAATTTTACATTTCAGCATAAAATGCACTTGTTTAAATGTAATATTTAGAACATTGGCACTTTGTCCAGTCCGTTTGTGTATAGTCTAAGCTCCAGATGATACAATGGATGATACAAGTCTATGAAGTCACGAAACAACAATAACAATAAACATTTTATAGCTCATAGTGTATTGAACTACATTTTAATTCAATGTTCAATGCAACTTAACTATAGAAGGAGTTAAAATGAAATAATAAAAAAAAACACCCCATCTAAATTTAGAGCAGAAGCACCTGTTAAATAACAGTTTTTGTATTCCAGACAATTTCATTATTTTACTAGACAAACAGTAGACATCCTAACCTACTTTACTGTGCAGTTAAATTGTACGTTTTTGTGCAGATAAAACTGACTTAAAAGCGAGAATTTAAAATAGACGAGTATGTAGGACGCACCCCCACCCCCACATAATACACGGGGTGTGTATCCAGTAGACCGTAAAAGTATTTTCCGACCTACTAAACACTGCTACAAACTGGTATAGTTTAAAATCACTGTTGTGTATAAATGTACAAATCTTTTTTTATAACGTTACTAGTTTTCGCCCGCGACTCCGTTCGCATGGGATATAAAAATCAAAAGTGAGTAGCCTATGTGTTCCTCTAGACTGTCCTCTACATCTTCAAAATTTCATCAAAATCCGTTCAGCCGTTTAGACTACAAACTCTAACAAACATCCATCCAAACTTTCGCGTTTATAATATTTGTATGTATAGATTTTCGAATAGTCGACCTCTAATTTGACCACAATATTATTTCAACATTCACTGACTAAGCTCAACAAAACAATGAATCATCAGTTCAACGTAATTCCAAGATATTTAACCTTCAAAGGATGTCGCAAGTCCCAAGTATCGTTTAAGTCTCTAGGAAAACCCCTCGACAAAACTAATCTATGCAATCTACATTCTATAAACAGACACTGATAATTTACATAATAACACGTTTACTGCGGCAAGTAAAATCATAATTCTTCATCTGGTGCGGCGGGCCGAAATAAGCCCCCAATACTTCCGCCAGTACATGGCAGGTCTTTTTAAACCCAACAGCACTAGGATAGATTAAATTGCTATAATTGTGCAAACATAATGGATACATTTTATGTAATGTACACCTGCGACAATAGTTTCGCACTAGCGAGAGGGACGTAGTTTTCTTCGCCCGCACCTGCTTGTACCGCGTCGGGCCGATATCGACCTGTTACGCAGTGAGTGTGTTAATAGATAATGAATTTAATAATAATTCTACTACATTGACATTAATTCACAAAGCTAAGTACGTGTACTAATATTATAAAGAGGAAAGATTTGTATTTTTGACCGACTTCCCAAAAGAAGGAGGTACTCAATTCGTCTGTATGTTTTTTGTATGTATTGAACTCAAAAACTACTTGGCCGATTTCAAAAATTCTTTCACCATTAAAACTCTATGCTAGCGGTAACATAGACAAACTTTACAATATTTCTTTTTACCTCACGCAGACGAAGACGCGAATAATAAAAAAACTTAATGTCCTAAGGAAATTTAAAAATGGCAGATTTGATTGAACGACGGAAAATGTTTTAGTGCTTACCAAGTTGATTTGCTGATTTTTTATTTATTTTATTACTAAGAAAAGCTGATAATCCCAAGAATTAATAAAATGTAAGAATTTTGAAGAAAAAAATCCTATAAAGACGTATATTTTGCTTAACTTCATTCCATTCGACAGTTACTTAATATGTCCCTAGTCCTTGTATCATTTATTTTTGTTAACATCCATTTTAAGCATAATACTGCATTGTGCAAATAGCTCGAATAAAAACGTGAGAGGATTCAGAGACTGCTTGTTTTACTCGAGGGCAGAACAACTTCAAGTTGAAGCACATACCTAAATTATTATGGATAATTTAAAGTACTCTTTAAACTTATAACTTAGGTCGTTGTTACCGTAACTTAATTTCTTACTTAGTTTTTTTGTTATTGTTTACGGAAACAGTTCTTAAAAGAAAATCCCCTTAATTGTATAAACGGTTTTTCCAGTTAAGGCTTGGAAGAACCAAGAAAAGTTACTCCTCAATTTGTAGCTTTTTAATTTTTATGCACTCTAAAACATTTACTTATCAACATTTTGTTATGAAAAAGCGATAACTTTAAACGAAGAAAGAGAAATTTCATTGTTTGTTTTAAAACATCCATTACCTTTGAAGCGAAGTTATTGGAAATTAATGCTACAACCAAGGTTTTATACAAAAAAAATCAACGAGCGCTTGCATTGACATACTTAGAATTGGGTCAATTGGACGCCTGGTTATTTTAAAACTTGCATTTCGATGTTTTACTTTTTATGTAAATAGCTATATCAGATAATTGCATTATAACTACATAACCTCAAAAAGTTAAGCATAAATTCTGTTAATAATAATTGTACATACCAGGTAGAGTTGTAATAAAATGAAATTTGTATTTAAACACATTTATTATCTTTTACATAAATAACACATTTCCTTATTCTAATGCTACAAACTTTTATTTTACTTTTTTCAAACACTTCACTTAGTCACTGCCAATGTTCCGACTGTCCATCACTGCCATCTGTTGACTGTGAGTATCACTTCCATTGGCCCCGTGCGGAGCTGCTTGCCCTTAAGGCGTTAAACTTGATCCAAGTTCCATTGACTTTAGTTCAAGGTTCCTCGTCTTCTGACAGCGAAGGTAGGACTAGCGTCCGCTGCAGTCTCTCGCGACGCTTCGTCGAGATCAGCTTCTGTCGCCGAATACCTTCAGCTCGCAGCACGTGGCAGTGCTCCTGCTCCAATTCCACTTCAGAATCATCTTCTACTAACGCCGGCAGAGCGTTGGAAATCTTCTGCCGCTTAGATTCAGCGCAATCCATCTGACGGCCGTGGGATTTGGGCAATGTAGGGTACACATCGTACAGAGCGACGGACGATAGTTTCATCACCATTTTATATAAGTTTAAAAAGCGTCTGTTCACAACGAGAATTGAGTGCAGAGTGCGGGGCGGCGGGCTGTGGCGCCGTATTTATAGCCTGCGCGTTTGTACTCTGTGTAGAATTGTTTGTATGTATGTCTCGCGTCACGATTTGCGCGCTAGCGGTGCGAGGTGAAGCAGGGGGAGGTGAGCGATTGTTCTCGTCATGGTAAACAGGCGCAACGTTATCAGGGGTGTTTGATGTCATATACATCTGAGATCTAAGTATCTCTATTGTAATCGACCAAGCTCCAACATCTCTATGTAAATTCACGCTCTGTCTCGTTTTCAACAATTGCTTTATATTTGTAGTGTTTTTTTTAACTCAATACCTGTCTTCAAATTACATGCGAACGTAATGCAAATTTCTCTTTATACAATTTCTGAAAAAAAAAAAAATACATAAATTGAGAAATAGGATCACACCCCTATTTCAATATAGACCAATACGTGCCAATTTCCTTTCGTCAGGATTCTTAGGATGTTCGAAATAAGCATTTAATCTTGTCTTGGGCGTAATCCCATTTAATATGCGCACTCGGTTGATGAATCAATATATTTATTTATACTGTTGTCGTTGAGAAACTTTTAAATATTATGTTACATCAACTTAGTGCGACATTTGGCACGTCGGAAAATAGAAAACTGTTCTGCTTGATGTGCCAATTAAACTGGGTACTACGACTTATGAGATCAAAGCAAATATCAATCGTATGCAGCATATCTTCGTTCTTGAAGTCGATTAAAAATATTTTATAAGAAAAAATACTATCCTAATTTTTTGCATCAATACCTATTGCTCGTAAATCTGTTTATGTCCGAGGATGATTCTTCTCCCCCTTATTCTACTCTCGTAGGGTCGAATCAACAGATTTTCGTCCTCCAAGTAGGTCATCTATCATCTCAGTCACCACTCCCGTCATGTCACTTTTTACACAAGCCATCTCTTTCTATGTCTATCTCTACTGGCGTACACTCACAACTATAATTCTTTTTCTTACATTACGCTTTTCGAAAGGCATACAAAAATCTGCTTTTGTATTCGTAATGGGAATTGCTAACTAGTAGACTATTAGCACGAAATTAAATGTTACTAGTAAAAAAGTATCGTTTTTCTTTCGTTTTAATTATTCTTTGCCAGAAATTATTAAAGAAACAATCCATATTGTTAGGTCGTTGATCTAAAGAAAAACAGACCATTTGTTTATTAAGACCACAGTAATAACAAGAATTTAGGTCTTGTAAGTAACCTAAATTGCTTACTTAGAAACCGCTAGGTTAGCTATTGATTTTTTCTTTGTATAGTTTTCAGCAGTACGAAGTATTTCTTTTTATTTCTAAGAATGTTTATAAAGATTTTTATCTTATAATCTGATAATCTTTTTGAATTAATTTATCTTTATTTTGGTATAGTTCATGGCAAGTTTAGATCATTTTCACCAAAGTTTCTTTAAATTTAATTTCTTGCGACCGTCGTCATAAGTGGATCAATTCTAACATTGGCAATATCACTTCAAAAGGCTTATTTAGGACCACCTGTTTCTTTTATTAAGATCAAAAGAATGTCTTTTAATAAAATATCACCTGAACTAAGAGATTAAACTAAAATCGTTGCCGCTGCGGACATGCAGGACAGCTCTTGCCTTTTGGCGGTTCTCCAACTCCGAACCGACTTGCAATCACAATTAAATATATAGTTTACGATTGCTTCTAGTTATAGGTCAATGAACTTTGATATATGTTTTCGTATTTAACAAGTTCTAAGTATCATAATTTTTAATAATTCGTCGGAATATCAATAAACCTCCAGACAAATCGATGATCGATTAGAAGACTCTTTTCTTTTCTTTAAAATTACTTTAAATAAGGTATTTTAACTTCTACAGACTTCTTAATATATTACCAAAGGGTTTCGTGAACTATGACGTCATATAATTTCCCAGACACCGTCTTTATTCTCAGAGAGTGCTGGCATCTTGCCAAAATATAGCAATCATTGTCTATGTTTATTTATGGAAGTACTTTAATAGGTGGCAAATAGTAAATTAATGTTTTATTATGCTATTAATAAATTCTCACACGTTTTTTATGCATGTTTAAATATTTGTTTTTTGTAACTATTTTTCGTAATTAATTAACTATTAACTATTTATGGTTTCAGAATTCTCAATATAAATACGTCAATTTAATTGTTATTGTTGTATTCTATTATTCAACGATTCACAATAACTTGTCATCAACTAACTCCAAAACATTTTCTACAAATAACCTATAAATCTTCTGGTTTATTTCCAAAGGCCTGACAAAAATGGCGGATAATTTCCTTCCAACCGTTTGCAGAACGATTAAAGCGCGTCAACACACTAAATTTCCATGTTATATCATTTCGATAAAATTAAACGATATTTCGTTCTCGAAATCAAGGATAACAATCACTTCAAAGAATTTCTTTAGTACTTTGACACAATTTCATTTAGGTCAAGTCTTAGTAGCGACATCTGTTGACATCATTGTCGTAATAAAACATGCATTTACGATTTTAAACAGTAATAAACTGTTATGAAATTGTTTTTACATATTAAAATATTGTTTTGAACACATTCTAATTAAAAATCGTCCTTCTCCAAGGTAATAAACCATACTTTTTTTACAGATGCTCTATTGTCTCTGATAAAGGTTATGAAACTAATGCTTATGAAACTACGACCTATATCATGACTGTGACGGCGCAAATGAGATAAGAATAAGGAGTAAACTAAGTATAAGCAAATAATAATACAAATTTTGTTTATTCTCAGTTTATTCTTAAGTTTAACTTTATACCGCGTTTATTTTTAAGACTATAAGGATGATTTGTCCAAATGAAAATTGTTGAACATAGCAGTTCAGTTCAGGTAGATTATTTTAAAATTTTTTTAAGAAAAGTTATCTACAGTCAAGTAACCGATCTGCTCGTTTTGTTGCTATGAAAATAGGTAAGAAATCCTTCAAAACTGATTATTTTAATAAATTAAATCACTTCATACTTTTCATGTATAATGTAAATATTCTCGTGACTCATTACCAAGGTCTAGGAAAGATTTATCATACAAATTAATTAAACACTCACTATAAAGTATAATTTCATCTTGCAAAGGCTACGTCCTTCATGTTTAAAACATTACAGCATCATGGCGCCTGTCGTGTTTGTTTGTGAAAATTTTAGTCATTTGATATCACTGAGAGAACTAAAGATACTAGGATTGATTGATAGATTGAATGTGGATGGCTACAAAGGTAGAGGAAGACCGAATAAAGTATGGATGGATTGTGTGAAAGAGGATATGCTTAAGAAAGGAGTGGATTCAGATGTGACGGCAGATAGAGATGTATGGAGCAGCACATACTGTGCCGACCCTCCATAAGGGATAAGGGCAAGTGGATGATGTTGTACTAAAGATACTAGGACTACATAAGTAACTAGTTGAACTTAGTTACGGCAGTAGGAAAAGTTTTTTTGATAAGGGAAAAAGGGGCTAACGAGAGAGGAAACATAGATGTGGTCAACGACATCCGCAACACCAGAGGTACTACAGATGCGTGACCTTTGAGGAAATTGTAGGTTCGTTTGTAAGCAAGGTTGTGGTTGAGCAACCGCTCAGGGCACTCAACAGAAAAGGTTGCGAAATACAGTATCACACAAGCCTGTTAGCCCTTCTTTAAAAGTAGGTATAAAAGAGGCTACTCGTTTTCGGTTGGTAAATGATGGCAGTTCGTAGTAATAACAAGAAAATTTCCTACGTGTTCAAGATGGCAATATGTGATACCAGCTACTGTGAAAAGATAAGTGTAGCGAAAAGTGGAAACGAAAGAGGGTATGAATGGATGAAGGAAGGAAGTTGAGCGACGAGATGAGACTATGGCCCAGTCACACAATTAGAAGTAACACAACATACAGACGAGATGGCAATATCTGCATAAATATATCACCATCACAATATTAAAACAGTATTTGAAACAGCGTAATTAACTTTAATACTGAAACTACTACTACTAACTGCCGCCAGAATACCGCGCTATTCTAATACGTCTGAATGACATTGACAGCTGTCATAGTGATGGGAACTCTATTCCGATGATCTAGTGTTGCGCCAATTTTCTTCTTAAGACTTTAAAAGAACAGAAACCCAATTTACCGAGTGAACATTATTGTATTTAACTTCAGGATTTTAATTAACATAACGAAAAAGGGCTTAACAATAGACAGTAAGTTCACTAGCAGCGTATAACATAAGTCTATGACCTAAATGCACCTAAAGATCTATCAACGATGCATCTTGCAGTATCGCGCTTGACCCCCTTCCTTAGACTTGACGGTACTGGAATAAATTGACATTTAACCTTGGCTTGAATACAATAGAAATTACATTAAATAATGTAATAACTTTTTAATTTATTAACTGGCAACATCAAATGATACTTTTATAATCTGTTCATTTTTAGAAGTTAAAAACAGAATAGCAGCTCATGACCTTTTCATCATTGTATTCGTGGGCTTTCGAAACATTTGTACAAGAAAATATTCTCATCTCTCTTACTATTGTGGAGAAAAGAGAGATAACAATACAAATGTTGGACATAGGTTCAACAATGTATTTGTTAAATCACTAGCTTTTGTCCGTGAATTTGTTCTAATAGACATTCAGAAAGTATATTTTAGTAGCCCATCTCTGACGTTATTTACTACTTTTGTTATGGTTTTTACTATCCAGATGTGAGTTTAGTTTGCGTTTTCCTTGAACACGTGTTATGGGGTTTTTACTCTTAAAGAGGTAGATAAGGAAATTTTTGAGTAAAACGAGACGAGATAACGTTTTGTATAAATGTTTGAGGTATTTTTATGTTACTAGCTGTTGCCTGCGATTTCAAACAAAAAAAAGATAAAAAGTGGTCTTTAATATGCCCGTCTATATCAGTTACCCTTCAATGAACGTCCGGTCGAAATCGGCCCAGCCGGCGAATGCGGCTTGCGGACAAACAGAGAGTTAACAGTGGTAGTGC